GTTTAAAACTGGAAAAATAAACATTTATTCCTAAACAAACTTATTGTTCTGAACAGTAAAATAAAACTTAATTACATTTCTTAAACTTTGATTTAAAACTGCAAACATACTATATTATTATATAGGTTAATTTCTAAAACAAAATATTAGAATAATAATAAAATAAAATAATAAAATTAAACTTCATGACCTAACAAAATATTTGTACCATACAAACATAAACTCTGAATTAATAATACTAGTCTAAATTAGAACTATTTAAAAAAATTATTTGGTCTAAGTTTTTTGGAGATAGGCGATTTCGTCTTAAGTTGGTTAGTTGTCCACATTTCGAAAATATCCTCTCCGAGGGTACAGATGTACCAGGAACTGTTAAATATTTAAGTGCAAGCTCATAGAGCTCAGGCATACTTGTTTGTGTGCTTTCCAAAATTCTAATGGATTTTCTTTTCGATTTACAAAAGGCAGTTCCAAGTATTGACGAATTATTAAGGTAGCAACAGTAGTAGGGGTAACTGTCGACTTCACTGTAGATAACCTTGTGTCAAAATTTAAACCAAACTCCGAAATCATTGTCTTTGGATGGATTTTGATTACTTAAGTCATCTTCCTGTCTATTTTCCTCCAAGTCATTTATATTTAGTTCATTTTTCTTTCTTATCAGTTGGACCAGTTCTTCAAACACCCATTTCTGAGCATTAGAAGAATTCGTTTCGTTCCCGAATCCCAACTTTTTGAACCTTGGGTCCAAAAATGAACACTTCGCGACAGTCTTATTTACTTCAAGAATTCCAAGACGACGTGAAATAATATCTACTAATCATTTTTTAAAAGAGTGCAGACCTCATTTTCAGTACTGAAACGTACTAGCGCATGCTGCAATCCTCTTATGAGTGGTATTATTGAAGACATTGTAGGGTACTTTTCGCCAGATAGGATTGTGGTGATAACCTCCACTGGCTTCAAAATAGGAATTAAATCTTTTATTATAGTCCATTCTTGAGCATCTAAAAATTCTGGAGCACTGGAAATACTGGTAATAGTAATACTCAAGGAATCTTTTATCACCAATAATCTTTCCAGCATTACTAGACAAGAATTCCATCTTGTAGGAACATCTTGCTTCACTTTAAGAACAGGAAGCCCCATCTGCTCTTGCACCGCTTTCAATTTATTAGAAGCATTGTTGCTGTGTTTAAAATGTCCAACAATACTCCTACATTTTTTTAGTATCGCGCTTAATAAGGGCTTTCCATTAAGTGCCTCATTTACACTCAAATTAAGAGTGTGGGCCACACATGGATGGTGATGTTTGTTCAGTATTTGCACTGCAGTTTTTATGTTTGCAGCATTATCTGAAAACAATTGTAGACACCTTTTCAAATATGTCCCATTCTTGCAAAACTTCTTTTACGGATAATGCTAGATTTTCTCCTGTATGAGAATGTAGCATTTCCCTTGTAGCTAAAGCATTGGAATGCATTTTGTCACTATATATAAAATGGCAAGTAATAGTGATATATGATTTATTACTATCTGAACTCCAACAGTCCGTAGTGATTGCAATATTATTTGTTTCGCGCAACATATTTTTTAATTTTAATTTTTCTCTTTCGTATAATTGTGGGATAAGCATGCTTGAAAGCTTTTTCCTACTCGGCAAATTATATAATGGTTGAAGCCTTTTAGAATATTCAATAAAGCCTTCGTCTTCGACAATAGATAAAGGCTGATAGTCTTTTACTATCATTTTACAAGGGCATTATCTATTTCAATTATGTCCACGTCAGTCAATTCATTGGTTTTAGCGCCAAATAATTTTAATTGCTTTCTTCGCTTTAGGGGTGGAGGATGGAATGTTGAGTCATTCGATGAACCCGTTCGATTTTCTCCTATTATTTCATCGGTTTTACTTGATGGACCAGCTTCATCTTCTTTGTGCTTGAATGAATTCACTTTTTGGTCATTATTGTCTAAATCCTTGTCGTTATTGGGTGGTTCATTTGCTAATAATTGAGTTGCATGCAATCGCTTCAAATGTTGATTCAAATTTGTAGTATTCCCAAAAAATTTTAGTTCTTTTTTGCAAATATTGCATTGCACAAAATTTGTGTTGGAAGATTTTTTAAAATATTCCCAAACGACGGATTTTTTAGCACCAGGTCTCATAATTCTATCAGGCATGGGCAAATTATAATAAATCGGTATTTAACGAATTTGATTTACGCTGTGGCTAGAGTCCCGGTACCGGTAACAAAATTATTCCCGGTAGAATTGTTGCAATTAAAACATAATAATAAAAAGTACAATTATTTTTTCACAGAAAAACTTACACTTAGATTTATTTTAAGGCACTGGATATTCGTCCGTACATGTGCGGTCGATGTGACGTTTTGTTTAAACGGCCGCACATTCGATATTCTTGCCTAAGTTCGATCAGGTGAATGGTTTATTGAAATGTTAGTACATATTGAAATATTATTAAAACCTCTAAAGAAAGCGCTAACCTAACCGGACGATTAATTTATTTTAAGCAGTGCAAATTAAAACATGTACGGCCGTTTAAACAAAACGTCACGTCGACCGCACATGTACGGACGAATATACACTACCTTATTTTAATTTACCCAAGCCTGATAAAGTTAGTATTAAACAAAACAGACAAGACGAACGTAAATCACCCGCAAAAGAAAAACACCACTGAGCGAAACACCACCCGTCACGTCACGAAGTTCGAAAACAACTAAAACAAATCATTCATCAGTGTTGCCACAGCGTTGTGGCCAAATTACTTGCAAGTACCAGACAGTTTTACTTGCAATTCCTTGCAAATACCTGACAGTTTACTTGCAATTACTGGCAAAGTTCAATGTTTTTATTCGTTTAGTTATGACAGGTATTCGAATCTCCTTCAGGTCTAATTCTACCGATTCTACCGCTGAATGAATTTTTGGTGAACCTGTGCTATGACTTCTCATACCTCCAAACACAACCTCCAATTCCGAGTGACGAGTGTTCCGCAAAAATAGATGTATATCTACCGACTGATTGATTCACGATGAGTATTCATATTTCAGTCAGTACGGCCATTTTTACTCCTCAGTGCTCTGCTAAGACTCAAGACTGCTGCGGCTTGACAGTCACAGCGGCTTTATGGTCCCGAGAAAAATGACAGATAACAGAAGCACCTACTTAGTGATCATGCGTTCTATCCCGATTTGTTTTTTCACTTCAGCTGGCTCGGCTCCATGTTCTAGGTTGAATCCCGCACGCCGTATCATAGAATGTTATGCTAATATGGCAACTGTTACGAATGTTTTAATCCATAAAATATGAACATCGCATCAATTACTTGCAAATTCCTCCAGAGCACCCATTCCTTGCAAGTTTACTTGCAAAGCTCCTCATTCCTTGCAAATGCAAGTAATTACTGGCAAAGCGGCAACACTGCAATCGTTGTTCAAATCGCTCGCGGCGTCGCGGCAGCGAGAAACGAGAATCAGAAATCAGAACTGCTGACTGAACGATGTTTACAACATGTGAATGATCATTCGAGTGATATATCGATTCTTAAAATCATTCGAATACTAACTATCCGATTATTAGAATCATTCGATTCTGCCCATAGCTAGTTTCGTCTTCTTCCATTTTCAAGCAGTGTTGCCAGAATTTATGATCGAAGTGTACTAGCCTTGAGCCGAAAAATGTACTAGATTATAATAAATTGTACTAGATTCAGTTTAGCTGCTCACACTATTTACTATTTTTAATATAAAATACATGTGAGGATAAATAGGAAATAACAGGCAAAATAATATTATATATATATATATATTTAAAAACTGAATATAAAACAAAAAACAATATAAAAACTAGATCTAAGGAATCATATACCTAAAACTAATAAAATAAGTAAACATAATAAAAATCAAATTAAAATCTTTGGTATTCTTAGGAACTAAACAGAACAACCATTTTTTATACATTAATAATAATATATGTACACAGAACACAGAATGTTCGAAGGTACACAAGGTATTTTTTGGGGATGATTGACATTTTGACACACCACACGAAGTGTCATAATTTATTTGTAAACAATCTGTCTACGACAAAGAGACTGTGACGGTTCCCAAGAATAACAGAAGCATTCTCCTAAATTTCCTTTTGCATGTAAAATATCATTAAGTGTTTCTATCGTCAATCTATTTCTTAATTTTGTTTTTAACAAAGCCACTGTTGAAAATATTCTTTCGGCCGCTGCTGAATAATGCGGTAGAGATAACAAACCTATTATCAGCTTTTCTAAATGTGGGAACATGTCCTCGTTCATTGCATTTTTTAGTTTTAAAACTTGAGACCAGAAATCGTCAACTGAATTTTGATCTATGTTCTTCAGCTCTGCAATGTCTGGTAGAAGGCGCCATTCAGAATTGAGTTTCTCTATGTCGGAAATTAAATTTGGGAAAAACATTTGAGCATCTAACGCAATGCTACCAACCTCACCTGATAAGGCGATCTGCGGATCCAACACATAACTTATAAATTTGAGAACTGGGTCATCAAAATTGAATCGTTTTTTGATCTGTTGGGAGAGTTCGATATAAAATTCCAGAACTCGTAATTTAAAGTTATGAATATCTTGCTTGCAAATATTAGGGTTACTCAGTAACAGTTCTGTTTTGGCACCAAAATATACATTTTCTAATGGAATAAATGATCTTGGATCATTTGTATCAATTTGATTCAATGGTTGGTTATCTAGAATTTTTTTTTTAACAAAATTCCTGAGAATTGATCTATATAAATCAGATGTTCGTTTTAAAAGCAGATGCAATTTTGGTTTCTTAGCTTGGAATTCTATATTCAGTTTATTTACCTGTTCTAATACATAGGAAAGGAAAGTAAAATATACCTTGAATATTGGATTTTCCAAAGAGTCCATAATACTTTTGGTAGCATGAAGATCTTCTTCCAAATATTCACTCTGAAAAAAAAGTCTAAGGGCATCCCAGTTCTCTAGCAACCTATCGACAGCAGCCTAAAAAAATAAAGATTCAACTGATACATCTTAGTTCACTGTAGAAATATATAGTTAGTCTTACTTGCAAAGATAACCAACGTGTCTGACAAGGGTGTAAAATTTTATGTGGTTTTAAGTCTACAAACTTCTGAAATTCTTCCAGCTTCTCCTTTCTTTTACTACTATGTGCAAAGTAGTTATATATAGACCTTATGAAATCCTCCAATGTTCTTGGTAACTTTTTTGCTGCTGCTGAGGAGCATAAGTGAAAAGAATGGCAGACACATCCGAGAATAAAAATATTGGGCAATATGGTTCTAAATCTTGCTTGGACCCCTGAGATATGGCCCATCATTACTGATGCATTATCTGCTGCCAATCCCAACATGTTGTCCAAAGGAATGTTAAGTTGTTTTAAGTGATCACATATAGCTTTAAATAGACTTTCTGCATCTGCTGAGAGTACCCTGACCAAATCCAAGAAAGCTTCTTTAGATCTATTTTGTAAAACGTCAAAATATCGTGCAACAACAACTAGTGATTTTTGTGACGATATGTCTGTTGTTTCATCCACAATTAAAGAGAATTTTTGTTTTTGAAGTAACTGAGACATTGAAAATTGATGTTCTTCAGCAATACATCGAGTAACATTTGTCGCCTTTGTCCTAGCACATTTTAGTTCTTTTGCGATTGTAGAATCGGGACATATGACAGATAGTAATAATATTAAATGATCCATAAGGATAAATGGCAGATTGTGCTCATGGATAAACATAGTTAGTTTCAATTCTGCTCTACATACACTCTTTAAAACATCATTATTTTCACAGTAATTTTCAATGGTTGGTGTCTTTTTTGCTTTTATGATGTTTTTTTTTCATGAGTCTGGGATGATGCATGTCGTCCTAAATGTTTAAAACCTCCAGCAATAAATCTTGAGCAAGCTTTACAGAATGATTGTTGTTTTTTTTCTTCTAACCAAGGATAGATTCGTATCCACTCTGATCTAAATTTTTGTTTGTAGTGTTTTTTCCTCTTTTTCTCCACCTGAGGCGTGCTAGGAATTTCTTCAGACGAAGTCATACTATCTGTATTCTCGGAAGAACTAACGGCTGATGTACTTGCTACTTCAGTTGTAGGTTCTTTTTTCTTCTTCAAAAACCTATAAAAATTATTCTGTTTGTAACAAAAATATTGCACTTTGCAATTGCAAATTTAGAAAATTCAATTAGGTGATAATATTATTTACCTGTCCATAATGGAAACCCCTTGATCTGAGATGAGAATCGGAGCAACTAACTAAAGGGATAGGGGATTACCAATAAGCAATAAGCCACACACGTATGTTAATAACAACAAACCATTTAAGCCAAAGAAAAGACCTATAACTGAATGTAAATTCGGTGTTTATGGTTTGTTTTCAAATTTTTAAATTGCACACCCTACTAACCTTCTTTCTACTATGCCCCTCCCAAACAGTCTGTCATCTGTCATTAGTTTCAATAATTTCAGGCTGCGTGGCTGCCTAATTTCTGCACACGATAATAGGCAACCCAGAATACACCATACACGCCAAACATGCGAAAATGATTTGTTTTACAGTTTAAGTTCAATTCTAATGATACTTTTCATTTCATCAGGGCAAAATTGTTGTGTTTCATGTTTTACTAGTCTGAACTAAAATTGTTATTGAAAAATTCGAAAGTCGTACTAGATTTTCAACAAAACGTACTAGCGTACAAAATCATGTTAAAATGTACTAGATCTAGTACATTTGTAGTAGACTGGCAACACTGTTTTCAAGCTGCATAATTCAAATACAAAATCAACATAACCTCAACTTGTAACGACCGTATGACAAGTGATTAATTCAAAATGTGTTTCGTCTAGAGGTGGCTGATATCGTGATTTCTGGATATCGGTGATATCCGTGATCGTGACTTTTTGATATCAGTGATTCAAAGCGTGACGTGATCACGACTTTCGAGTAACGAGTAGGGTATGACTTAACTGATACCCTGAGCTCACTGTGATAAAGTAGCATCAAACACTTAAGTTTGCGTTTGAAATATGTAGATACTAGGTACATATGTATAATAATAGTCTTCTGAAATGAAAACTTGTTGAATATATTACTATGACAAAATACATTCGAGTACGATAACCAAACAAAAATAAAGAATACGAGATTCCACAAAAATAAATATATAAATGGTATTCTAGTACTATATATAAAGTCTCAAAAGCCAACAAAAATAAATAGAATGTTCTATCATACTATAGAATAGTAAAAGCAATAACTAAATGTCTGCCATGTACTTCATGTTAGAGTTGAGAAATAATAACATTTCAACATTTTTGGTGGTCAACCTAGTTCGCCTGTCGCTTATAACTTGCCCAGCTTTCGAAAACAGCCTTTCATAGGGAACTGAAGTAGCTAAGTTACACAGTTGTTCCTGTGCAATTTTGGATAGATATGGGAGCATTTGTCTGTGTTCTCTCCACCAGAGAAAGGAGTTGCTTGTTCGAGGGATGATTTCCTCTTCCAAGTATCTCTGCATTTCGATAATTGCACGAGAAGTGAATGTTCCCTTTGGTTGAGCACTCGCAACGATTTTATCGAAGTTTCCCCAAATCGACAGTTCTCCATCTTCCTCTTGATTCAATGACGATTTGCTCTCATTAACTAAGCTTTCAGTTACGTGATTTCCAAGCTCAGAATTGTCTTCTCGTATTTTCCTTGCTATTAGTTCTATCAATCTTTTTTTCGTGTTTTCAGCAGCAGTTTTGTCAAAGAACGCAATATCCTTGAATTTGGGATCAAGAAACGTGCTATTAGATAAGGTACCACTCCTTTGAATATTACCAAGGCGTTCCTGTAAGCCTGAGTACCAAACTTCAACCACATTGTTGACTGTTGCTGTGAACCGCTTCTGATTCACCAATTTCACAAATACGTTTTGTAATCCGGAACAGATGGGTATCACAAGGGAAGTGGTGCAATATGTATCTCCAGATAGAGCTCTAGACGCATCTTCGAATGGTTTCAGCACAAGACATAGTTCTTTGATAATGTTCCATTCCTCTACATTTATCACAGGTAGTTCCTTGTCAATAATAGCAACAGTGCTCTTAATGGCTTCTTCTAGCCGAATAAACCTCTCTAACATATAGTAAGTTGAATTCCAATGAGTAGCCACGTCAAGAATTACTTTAAGAGGAGTTTCGATTCCCGTGTTTTCTTGATACCTCAGGAGTTTGTTGTTCGAAATTGTACTTTTCTTGAAGTAGCGTACTATTTCTCGAACTTTTTCTAAAATCAATGTGATCCTTTCGTTTTTTAATCCATCCTTGACCATAAGGTTGAGCGTGTGTGCAACGCATATTTTTCCATTTCACTAGCTGTAAAGCTTTTTGTATGTTTGCTGCATTATCCGATACAGCAAAAACTATCTTGTCTTGTATATCCCACTTAGTGGCTGCTTTTAGGAGAAATGCAGCTAGATTCTCAGCTGTATGACCTTTTTCAAATGCAGAACACTCAAGGAGAACCGATATCAAATTAAACTCCTTGTTTAAAAAATGTGCAGTTACAGCAACATAGCTAGTGTTGGTGTTATTTGTGGAAGTCCAACCATCAGTTGTGACACAAAATGTTTTTCCAGTTGAGATCAGGTTTTTTGTGTTGGTCAAGCATTCTTCATTAAGTGCCGGAATTAATGTTTTTGAAATGATGCGCCTTTCTGGCAATTGATATGATGGATTGAGGGCTGCAACGAATTCCCTGAAGCCAGTATCAGCAACTATAGAGAATGGCTGAAGATCTTTCACGCAAAGATAAAGTAACTTCCTGTCAATTTTATTTTTCTGTCTGGCACTAATTTTTGTTTGCAATATGTTTGAAAAACTATCAACTTTCGTTTGAGTGATTCTAATTGGAGCATTTGCTTGGCATGCTATCATTTGCTTGGAGGTAGATGGGTGATTGTCAACAGCACTCTCCATAGATTCTCCATTATCTGTCTGAAAAAAAAATAAAAGAAAGGATTCAAATCCCCGTTGTGTATTTATATGTAGTATTCCACAAACGTTGATTTTGATACCTATAAATAATTAATGATGACAGACTTCAAATAATAAGCTATGAAAAATCCATGAAAATTATTGGAATATTATAGTACCAAAACAAAACTCTTAGAGATTAAAATCACTCCATAATGTAGGGCTGAAAACAAAGTCTAAAATATATTCACTTACCTTACTGCGATATATATGTGTATCACTCTCACTAGCGGTGATTGTTGATTTCAGGGTAATGGTGGGATGTCTTTTGTTTATGTGTTTTTTCAAATTGCTGGTACTAGTTTTGTACGAAAATTTGCACTTGCACATGTTACATATTGCAAAGCTTTCGTCAATCGGCTGAAAAAATTGCCACAATTCGCTTGATTTTTTTCTCAAGATTGGCGCTATGGTATCACGTTTTGATCTGCAGGCGAAAATAATCTCAAAGTAACCTAAAATCCAGCTTGTTTTGGTTTACACTGCCCCTTACGCTGTACTGTTACAATGTTCAATATCGCTTACAGGCCATGCGGCGGCTTACGATTTTCGACCTCACGGCAGCCCGCATGCGCCACGCGCGACGCATGCGAACGGCTTGCATATTCAAAATTCAAACAGTGCCGTGAACGTTGATACCGTGAACCGTGATGCGTGATCGTGATCCCATCCCACTTTATCTTCGGCGACGCGGGTGCCGGGCGGATGTTGGCTCGGCAGCGCGCTTGTGCGAAGTCGTGATCACGTCACGCTTTTTCACGACATTCAGTAACAGCCGTTATCCGTGATTCCAAGATATCAGTTACTGGATCACAGTTCGTGAAATATCTGACATCACTAGTTTCGTCCAAGATAATTCGAAGGTTAAAATGGCGTTCGCTCATCTATGATTGGTTGTTCGGACAAAACACTTTATAATCAAATTCAAGCGGATAACCAAATGGAAATGGTATTTACCATTTTGGGTTGGTATTTACCAATCCGTTCAAGCGAGTGTAGTTATCAGTTTGGTTATAAGATCCGTGACGTCACGAATCAGCTGTTATATGTCATAGTTATCACCGCAAAATTGTGGTATTTACCCAACTCAAGAGTAGTTTTATATTTTTGGTTATTATTTGAAATGTGACAAGTTAGAATTTTGCCGGGTATTGGATATTGTTATTGTATTTCAGCTTCATTTTGAGAAAAATGATACAGGCTGACTTCAGTTTTACCATAAAGTGGAGCACCTTATTAGTTATACTCATTACGGTTGTTGGGGACACTTTAAATGTAGTTCCTATGCTTAACAAAGTATCATTTGTAGCCATATACCACAAGGATATTAAAATATGGCCATATAAACTCACTAGATGATATCCACCTGTATACGGTTTTGCTAATTTCTTTTTTCATCATTTCTGCTGAATCAATAAATGTTTTCTTTGACATGCGGAAAAATTTAGAGAATTGAAAGTTATCATAGCTACAAAGCCATGGTTCCATCATTTAAAAAAAAAATCTGAAAAAAACATTTCTCCCATGAATATTAAGAAAGGTTTCTTATTTAAACTTTCCATATACAGTTGTAGACGAAAAAGCACCGATTATTAAGTGATAATAAAAATAATCAGAGATGATATACGCGCTTTTCTAAAATAAACAACTTGCAACGAAACCGCGGTTAAAACCAACGCGTTCAAGCGATTCGTGTAACTGACGTCATCAACCCGTGTGTCATCTTGAACCAAATTATAACCGCGGCACATAACACAGAAATTTTGGTTATTCGCTTGGATTTGATTTATGACTGATTTCCGACGAAGGACAAAACACGTTACGTTTTTACCAGCATTTTTAGACGAAGAAAATATATAGGAGAGGACACAATTTGGTTGCCCTTGTGTACTAAAAACAAGGGGTTCGTAAATGAAAGAAAGATGGACTTGTAAACACGTTTTTTTCTCATTTGTGACAAAACACGTTTTGAAAGTTACCTCCTCATTTACCCTCAAATCATTCATCCTTTCAAAATGCTCATAGTTGGTTTTGGGACAGAATAACATTGCAAAACTCTTGGTAGGATTGAGCTTCAAACAGTTAGCCTTGCAATAGTCAGTTATATTTACCAGATCTAAATTTATTTTATATGAAGCTTGATCTACATTAGTAGAGTCAAAAGTGAAGGTCAATTGTGTATCGTCTGCGTAAGTATGAATACTACAAAACTGTAATACAGTATGCAAGTCAAAAGTTTAAATTAAATATAGTAAAGGACCAAGCACGGAACCCTGAGGAACACCATAAGCAACATCGGCACTAAGAGAAACTCCTTGGCTTGTTCTTACTCGTTGCTTGCGATTATTTACGTATGATTTAATAAAGCAAAGAGGAACGTCAGATAGTCCGTAGTATTTTAATTTGGATAGAAGCATTTCGTGGTTAACCGTATCAAATGCCTTTGAGAAATCTAACAACACCAGCACAGTGTAAATATGATTGTCTAAGTTAGAGATAATCTCATCAGTTACGTGTAATAATGCAGATGTTGTGCTGTGACCACTACGGAAACCAGACTGATAATTTGGAAATATATTGTACTCTTCAAAATATTTTACCAATTGCATATAAACAATTTTTTCCAATATCTTTGACAAGGCACACAATATACTAATGGGTCTCAAATCCGAATATTCTGTAGGATTATTATTCTAAGAGCCTCTTTCCACAAACTTGGAAATACTCCTTTTTCTAAACAAAAATTGACGATATGTGTTAGATGAGGTAACACTTCAGGAATACACAAATTGATCATTCCTATATTAATTCCATCACAACCAGTTGCTTGAGATTTGATGGAAATTATAACATCTAAAACATCTTCTGGGGTAACTAAATGAAAGTGAAAGAGCGGAATGTCTGAATTAAAAGAACTTGAATTATATTCATCTACCGTACGATTTATAAGACGGGAATTAACATTGTGGGATACAAAATTTGATAAAAAATAATTGTTAACTTCGTCAGGATTGAGCAAGTGTGGGGGAATTTCTGCCTTATTTTTTTGGTAAGCTCCAAAATTATGTGGTTCCAAAATTTTTTAGGGTTTGACTTTTCGATATGAGCTAAATATGCTTTTTTCTCTCTTTTAAGTGCAGCAAGTGCGTGATTACGCAAAATTCTTTAGTTGATCCAATTTTCTTCAGTTGAATCATGTCGAAATTTGAGTAAAGCTTCATCTCTTTCCTTGAAAATACGTTTCAAGGTTGGGGTTAGCCAAGGCGATGCATTTTTCGTTATACGCGCTTTACGAATAGGTGCATGTGTATCGAAAAGAGCAATTAAACTTTCAGTGAAAAATAAAACCTTTTGATCGATATCATTAATATAAAAAATTTCATCCAATACATTAAGTCTTAAATGTGCTTTGAACAAGACCATATCAATATTTTTCAGGTCCCTATATTCAATAAATTTTGGTGCATTTCTAGGAGCAGGCATTGCTAATTCACAAAAAACTAATCTGTGATCGGATATTTGATCTGCTGCTAATGTCCCAGAGTTTAACATAATATTTACATCATTCACAAAAATGGGATCTATCAATGTGGAACTGAACTGCGTAATTCTAGTGGGCTCGGTAATAATCTGAGCATAATTATATGAATCGAAACATCTATTTAGAAGGTTCTCATGATTGAATAGATCAATATTTACATCACCCAAGAAAATAATATTGTCATACAACGGAGTAAAAAAAGGTAACAAATTGTCAAAATTATGTACGGCATCATTTAAATTCAAGTGAGGAGGGCGATAGGCAACCACGACCAAAAATGCAATGTTGTGAAGTTTGAACTTGCAGCATAAAATTTCCACAGAGCTATTAATAGCAACATCAATCTCTACTATTGAACAATTTAGGTTACGCTTCGCATATAGCCCAACACCACCTCCTCTGCTCACCAGATCCTTCCGTAAAAAATCATACCCTTCAATTGAAATTACATCATTAGGTATGCCGTCGTTTAGCCATGTTTCACTCACTGCAGCGACATCAAAGTGATCTTTAATCATGTGTGTAAAATCATGGAAACCAGCTACTAGAGATCGTACATTTAAATGACAAATTTTCAATGAAATCGAATTAGCCATAGTTCACATTTTGTCTGAGGTTGTCCATATAGTATTGGCGAGCTGCACATTCTCCGAAGTTTGAAGAGTGGGCCGTTGGTAGATTCTTCTTGTTAGTTTTGTTATAATTCATACAGTTAATACACTGCAAGACATTAGATTTACATTCCTTCAGATAATGTTTCCTGGTACACCTGGGGCAAGTGAGCTCGGACTTGCATGTTTTATCAGTATGTCCATACCCACTGCACGTTGAACAACGGATTACACGTAAGTGTTCATAAATTGGTAACTTCTTCCATCCAACAAACAAACTCTCTTTCTCCAGCAAAACTTTACGTAGTGAAGGGGTTACTTCAATTATGATGTGAGACGCATTTACATATTTCAGCTTAGTAACAAATTTTATATCCTTCTTTTCTGTGTCAGTAAAGCTATTCAATGAAGTGATACTAGAAATGATATCTTCGGGAGTGTTCAGTCCGTTTACTAGAAATGATATCTTCGGGAGTGTTCAGTTCGTTTAAATTTACGTTTTTTACAAGCAACCTGGGATTCAATTTCTTTGCTTCATTGATAGTATAGTTTTCACCAAATTTGCTGGAAAGTGTGTTTTTAAGAGTGGCAAGTGAGCTATTATCATGACAGAAAACAGCAACTCCATTCTTAATTACACGATTTGTATTAATGCGGACGTTTAAATTACCAGGATTAATCGGTGACGTCACTTCATCCATAATACGATTTGAATTAGCAACTTCAGAAGAAGATTTGATAATTAGGACGGAAGAATCATTCTTGACTGGTTTTTTCAGCACATCACTGTATTTACTAGCTCCCGGTTGGGAAGGATACGTGGGAACAACGTTGCCTGCTTGTGAGCTAGAAGTGGAAGGAAGTCCCAAGTTCCTTTCATTAGACTCCAACAAGGACTTCTGTAATGTTACCGTGTACTCTAGGTCCTCCAGCCGTTTATGTGCCAAGTTCAGTTCCCGGTTTAGACACTCTACCTCTTTTTGTAATACCACAACTTTCGCATTATATGACTTATTGGAAGGGAATGATTTACATTCATCACATAGCCATAGCAAATTGTTGCATTCTAAAATAATTTTCATCCAATTATCTTTAATTGAAACACACGACGGATGAAATTTTAGGTTGCATGTACCACATTTAATAGATTTGGTGGAAACAATAGTTATCATTGCAGACCTCGCAGACGTCTACATCAGGTGCCATGATGAAATCATGGACCTAATCTACTGGACTATCCACAAGAATCGTAAATACAAACAATATTTTTGCTTCTCACAAATATTCAACCATAAGCAAAAAAGAAAATAACACGCGATTATGAACTCTATTGAACATACGAATAAGGAGAAACGCTACTAAAATACAAAATATTCAGTATGCATTCAAACCTTCGGGTATACAAGTTGCACTGTACATTATCACACTTGATGAATTTTCGCGGATGATTCTACCTATAAAAATAACTATTCAGTGCCCCGCTAGCCGGTTCACTGTTCACATTTTCAGACGACGAAACATCTTCTGAAAACTAAAATTGGAGAAAGGTACCACATATATCTGTACATGTATTATCAATCTTATTTTATAATTTTTTAAATTTTTTGTATTTGGTAATTATAAGTTCAAGTAACTTTGTAAACTATAACAACTTGCCCCTCTGTAGGGCAAATTGTTATAGTTATACAGTCTAAGGGGTAAGATGATACAAGAAAAAAAACTCAAAAACTTCAAAAAACAGTTTGGATAAATGGTCTTGGAAGGAACCTTTATTTAGCAACACAAAAAACATTCGGAACATTACATAAAGTAAAATAAAAAAAAATAAATGAAACTTTTGTAAAAACAAAAACCTAAATAAACTTGTAAAGGAAAGTTAAACTAATCACTATCGGACAAGCAGTGAATACAAACATAAAAATCGATATCTTTGCCACAACCTACATGCGCCCACCCTTTACAGACAATGCACTGGATCCACTCTTCATTTCTAGAATGTGAAAATGGAGTTAAACATATCAGACATGCCGATTCTTCATCCTCTTCTGAGCTTGTAAAATCTATTTTTTAAGGGTCTTTTTAGCGCTCTGTTTCTTACATTTAGACTTTGCCCCACTTGTTAATTCACCTGATTTGTTTCTTTTAGTTGCTCCCACATTTTTTCTCTTTGTCTTGTCCTTTCTTCCTCCTCTAAAGCAGATTTAATCGGAGTGTCTGTCAAAATTGCGGAAAGTCTTTTCTTCCGACCTACTTTTGATTTTCTGGGCATGGCTTTTGGGGTAGTAGATAGTAAATCAACAGATTTATCTAACGATAAGCTGCAAGCTGAACTCGTAGAAGGTTGTGGGGTTCTTTGGTTTTCCCTATTAAATTCTGGTTCAGGACTTATTTCCATTGCTGTTTTAGTATTTTCTGGCTTTGGCCTGTCTGTTACTTCTGAGGGTAAGAATTCATCATCTTGAAATATTTCTCTGTTGAAAGGCCAAATTCCAGTCACCTTAAATCCTTTTTGTGTATTAAGAGGCGTAACAGCAGGGAAAATGAATCTCTTAGAACGGTAGGTATATCATAGATGTTCATTACTTTACCTGGATTAGATCTTAACCATGCATCTGCAGCACTATTGAAATTGAAATATCTTTTAAGTGGGCCAAACACAGTGCGATCAAGGGGCTGCAGCTTGTGAGATGTGTGGGGCGGGAAACTTAAAAGAACAACTCCATTAACTTTGCAAAAGTTCAACACAGGGATAGATAAATGTGATTCATGATTATCTAAGACCATTAAAACTGGTTTCTCTTTGCTACAGCGGACAAATTGGACAAAATGTTTCATAAACAACAAAAAATTTTCACATGTCATCCACCCAGAGGAACGGGATGCACCGACACAACCAGGAGGCCCATTTGCTACCATAACATCCTTGAATTTTTTCCGTGGAAATCTTATGAATGGAGGTACGAAATTGCCATTTGCGTTAACCGCTAATGCCAAGGTAACAAGTTGACCCCTTTCTCCAGAAGTGATAGCGCCTACCTGCTTAATTCCCCTTTTTGCTATGATTTTTGTGGGCCTCGTCCATATTATAGACATCTTGAAGCTGGAATTTATATTTATCGTAAACCTTGCCAAGATTATTGAAAAACTGCGACACATTATGGCGATTAAACGCAGTGGCTCTGCCCATACTAGTAGCTTCGGCTGTTCTGACAGATAAAGTTTGATGCCTCTTCAGAAATCCATATAACCAATCCTTGGAAGCTATTTCTTTCACCTTCCAATTTTCTGGAACAGATATGTTGTTTGCTATCGCAAAATGAAATGCAAGTTTGCGCAAATCAGAAGTTGTAAGACCGTAATAAATTTTAGCGGAATGTGTATTTCGCAAGTTCCTGTTCTTCGGCATTGCTAAATATTTTTCTGTGCGTAGCGTAGCCAACTAAGCACTTGCTTCTGTTTTCAACGTTTAGGGCTAACTTTCTTTTCATATAGCGGTGTAACGTCATAAAATTAACCCCGTAGCGAGTAGCAGCATCTCTAATTGATAATTTTTCTTGTAATATGGCCTGCATGGCACTTTCATATTGTTCAATTGGAATAATACCTCTTGCAGTTTTCTTCTTGTACGTTCGCACCATGTTCAAGAACCTGAAAACAACAAAAACAATTTTATTGTGTAAATTTTAGTGGAATGGAAAATTATAGTACTTGCATTAAAATATATGGGGCAAGTTGTTACAGTAACAACCTGCCCCCAAATTATTGTAACAACTTGCCCCGCGTGCACAAAATGAGGTTAGGTCAATGTTTTTTGGTAAGTATTGTGAATCAGGTAAAGACAACGGCATGCAAATAAAGAGAAAAATATAGGCTCCAGAACGGTATAATATACATATTTATTTATACTACTTACCAATTTTTCACAAACGGAAACAAAAGCGAACAGACAACCGTACAGTTTTATAACTGAAACAACATTATACACGAAAACACCATGAAGGACGCTACACATGAGTATAACTGTTCGTGTACAGATGGCGGGTCGGCAGAGCCAATCTCTTGTACATTTTCAGCCAACCCGTCGTACTTGCTGCTCTTTAAAATAATTATGTAACTTGCCCTCGTAACAACTTGCCTCCTTCTCCCCTACAGTTAAGCTTTTTGTAACATGTTCCATATAAATTCGTATGATATTTGGTTGTTTCATTGACTCGCATAAAGAATAACAGTCGTCCCTTTCTAACGCCAATATACAGGGTGATTCGCGAGTCGTGACCAAAAATGAAACATCATAGACAGGACCGCGTTTTAAGGGGGGGTCTTCTATGTACCATTTTTCCCTTGAGGACTTCATTAAAAAGATTCGGCGTGTTGAAGTTTAAAAATAACAATTTTCTTAATATCTTCTGGAATAAACTAGAATTTGGTATGTGGATTTACCCAAGTATTGTCCACATTCAAAAGTCTTTACTTAAAATGAACTTGCACCATTCGCGGAGATATAGGGGATCAGTGGCATTATTTTTCCAAATAAAAATAGTACGACACTGTTTCTTTTTTTTTTCGAAACGCGCAAATTTTCGAATTTTACCTTTAATTTGCTACAAATAATTACTCTTGTTTTCTCCTATAGTACACTGTTTCCGTAAAAATACAAATAAATTAAATTAGACCATTCATGAAGAGGCGAGATACAATTAAGTTCAAAATAAAATAGGAGGCCTTGATACCAACGTCGTTTCTTGGGAGATAGTTTGTCAAATTTATGTATTATCGTTACTACCACCATTTTTTTTTTTTAAGTCTAGTCAGTTTCTTTGTTCTATTTTTGAGTGTTGTGAAATGGAATTTAGCAATGATGAGTTCGCCGATATTATTTTTGTGATCGGGCTCTGTAATGGGAATGCTTCAGAGGCTTCTCGGGAGTATTAACGTAGATTTCCTAACAGACGCCAACCTATCTCAAAGGTTTTTCCGGGTTCATATCTAAGAATTGCCAAACTTCCCAGAGCTAGAAGCCATGGTGTCGGGCATACTGTTCAAGATGAACTGGAAGTGATTAATTTGGCGTTGGATGATCCTAGTACGGATTGCAGCCCAGTTACCATGTTCCCAAAGTCTTGCGTGGAGAATTTTAAATTGGGAAGTTTTACATTCTTGCCATCAGCAAAATCTGCAATGTCTGCATCCCATCAACGAAGTAAAATGGCGAAATTTTGATGAGTGGTTACTGCAAATGCATAATCAAAATGCAGATATTATCGATTTGGTTTTGTTGTCAGATGAATTGCTTTACGAGGAGTATGAAAGTGTACATTGGCCTTGCTAGTTCTTCTGATTTGAACCCCTGGATTTTTTTTGCGGGACTCTTAAACAACTAGTGAATGCTGAACAAATTAACAATGTTTATCAGTTACACGAAAGAATAGACAATACGTTTTTTTTTATTAAACAGATGCTGCACTGGTATCCGTCAGAATGCTGGTCTTTTTAAACATTCATTGAAATAGAGCTTTGATTATCTAATTTCTTTTTTCACTTTTACGAAAACGGTGCACTTGAAGTGGATCCGAGCTTACACAATATTACTCAGGGTTTTTCGTGGGTTTCAGTAATAACGACGGCGATATGGCTAACAAACTTTAATGGTAGTAAGGCACAAAATAATTCACTAACTAAAAAAAACATGGAACCCGGTAATCCTTAAATCCGGAAGATGGTCACGTCACCTGTTGCCTCTCTTGGCGGCGAAGGGCAACTGCCCCCTCGCTCGATCTACCACAATTTCGTCCACTGTTGCCGAGTTGCCGCGCACCTCACTGAACCACTACACAACCCCCCACTTAAATCGAGGTAACATAGATTTAAGTCTCGAAACAGAGCAGAGGGTGCAAGGCAATACCGGGAACATTACTCCAGTACAACATCGCTAGGCTGCTTATAAGCTTTGAGATTGATTACATTTTCCTTAGAATGAATCTTACCATCAAGATGTCCAATGACATAGGAGTTGGGTCCCGCTTGTTGTAACACAGTATATGGTCCATCATACAGTAAAAAGAATTTAGAAATTAGTTTAGCTTCGGCGGACGAATGAGGATGCGTTTTAACTAGAACCTTATCGCCCGGGTCAAAAGTAAAAGGGTTTCATCACTTTAGCCCTCTTTACCCTTTTTGCAGCCTCCCTCTTCAGTTTTTCATACGCCACACCTGAATCCTCCTTCAATGTCGTACAGTTTACATCGAAGCGCCACAAACGTAAACAACAGACAACCCGCCAAGCTTCCTTTTCCGTTACGGTGTAGTTATTTGACTTCCTTTCAAAACGGAACTCATGAAGCAAACATATTGTTTCTCCCCCGTATCGCTAATCTGGTAAAGACTGCCCCCCACGGCATATGCGGAAGCATCGCATTGAATATAAAAAGTGCGCTTAAAATCAGGATGAACAAGCATCATGGACTTTAGGAAGGCTGTCTTAATAGCTCTAAAATTCTCCATTTAATCGCTTCCCAGCGCCATTTTTCTCCTCTTCAGCAACTTCAACAATGGCATGGTCAATTCGGCATACCCGGCGCAGAATCGATGTTCATAATTGACCAGACCCAAGAACCCTCGCAGCTCTCTTATATTTCGTTGAACAGGAAAATCAGAAATGTTTTTGACACGCCCCTCGTCTATTTCGATTCCCCTCGAGGTGATCACATGACCTAGAAAATGTACCTTTTCCCTAATAAACTGACATTTTCTTAGTTTAATTGTAATTCCGGCATCACTAAGTCTCTGAAAAATCGTCTTCAAATGCCTTAAGTGATCCGCTATGTTCTCCGAGTAAATTAATAAATCATCAACATATGACTGCGCGAAATCATTACAGCCTTCCAGTATCTTATTTAAGCATCGAATAAGACTTGCCATGAAAGTAGATAACCCAAATGGCAATCGACAAAAACTATATGTTTCACCCTCGAACACAAACCCAAGATATTTGGTATGATCCGGCAACCCTGGAATTTGCCAATATGCTTGCGTCAAGTCTATTGTGCTCATAATTTGCCCCTGTTTAAAATTGGCCATCAATTCAGACTGATTGGGAGGATTCACGAAATCCTTTTTCATCTTGTTCAGCCCCCGAGCGTCCAAACACACGCGAATATTCCTATCCCTTTTCTTCACGCAAACTAACAGCGAAATGTAGGAAGTTCTTTCCTTTTGAATAACACCGGCCGCTAACATTTCAGCAATCTGTCTTCTAACTTCATCCCGATAAAGCATAGGAACAGGATAAGCCACAAAATTAAATTCATTTTCATCCACTAGCTCAATTTGATGAAAATAGTTGACGACGCGTCCCGGTGTATCAGAGAATGTATTCCTATATTTTTCCAAAATACTTAAAAGTGAAGCCTTAGCACTCCCACTCAAAGTAGTTTTCGCTGCTGCTGCCTGAATATCCTCCGCGCTGTAGCCTTTGCTGCGGGAATCACCGTCATCAACGCTGTACTCTACCAGTGGCGTAACCCTGCTAGCTTTATTTTCGACTTCATCAAGCACATAATCATTTTACTCGCAGAGGTTTATAGATATTTTCTGCGGATCAATCCGGAATGACAGCTCCGTATTTACGGAAACCCCTTCTATCATCAGCTTCACCTGTGAATATTGATAATCCAAACGTGCTTGATGCTTGGATAACCAATTTGATCCAAATATCAAATTGCAATTGAGTTGTGGAATAACCAAACAGTTCACATCCATATCTATTCCTTCTAATTGAACTGGAATAAAGATTTGCGACTTTATCTTCTGCGTTTTACCGCCTATTGCTACAGAGATCACTCCTAGTATGACCGGTAAAATTGGAAATTTCCCGAGGTTGCTTAACTCTGAATAGAATTTCTCCGAGATTGCGCATATATCTGAGCCGCTGTCGATCAATACTTCTACCAACGTACCAAAAATATGTATCGATATGGTCGGCGAAACATTTTCATCATCCTGCACTATATCCTCCAGGTCGCTTAAAAGATCTGGATCCCCCATGCAAGCCAGTGAACACACGGTATGTCCCTCATTATTTCCTCTAGCGGTCGACCGCTTATCTCTCGATATCTCTCTCTCGGAATTTATTCGATTATTTTCAGATCGATTACTATAACCCTGCGCATTATTCATATTCCTATTCGAACCCCCCACAGTAGACAATTCGTCAATACGTCTCAGATATTCCTCTACCGTATCAGGCGACGTAAAATTATTAATAATCATGCCCCGCTGGACTTCCACATCAAAATGTTTTACCAACATTCCAATTACATTTTGCATCGGAATTTTATTATCAAGAAACTTTGCCTGCGCCACCAGATTCAAGAAATATTCTGCTCGACTGCCATACGAGTGCGTACCGTAGACCAACGTCATATACAACTCTCGTTGTTTTTCAATGCTCCAGAATCTATTTTTAAACGCTAGACGAAATGAAACATAGTCGGCAAAACAATCCTCCTTGACGCTAGCCCAATCGGCCGCCGAACCTCTTAAGCAACCAACAGCTAAACCCAACTGCGCATGCTCAGGAACACCTGCATCGCTAAATATTTTTTCAATTTTCGTTAAAAATAGCATTGGGTGCATTTGCCCATAGTTTGAAAATGTGACATTACCACCCCCTAACTCTTTCCAGTTTATTATATAGGATCTATCTTTAATTACAGTCGAACAATCATCTATTCCTTTAGAAGTACAAACAGTCTCCGGCACTGTCTCCATTCCAGACATCAGGCCCTTATATCGTGTGTCAGACGTTGCCACCTTCTCAGCTAGTTGCCCTACCGTACTTTTTAACTCTGTCACTGATATTGCCAAATTTCTAACTAAAGACTCAAGGTCCTCCTGCACCTCCTTTGTACTCTCTGCCCTGCCTCTCCGCGACTTTCTGCTAGACATTTCTACAGCTTACCTAAACGACAAATTGTTACAATACTACAGTAAACTAAACCAAGGAAAGTTTTTTTTTTGTTACAATGACTGTTTCAACACAGTAAATAATCAGTCATATCCCCTCTGCTCCGCCAGCTATCTCTTAACGCCTCACTGCTTCTCTACCAGCGCCTCGGTGCTCGTACAGAACCCCCCAGCAGCATACACACCCTCAGCTTTCCAAAAATGAAAATGACTTCTCACCCAGATCTGCTTACTCCTCTTACAACCGACAACACCGCCTGGCTCGTGCCGCTTGAACACAGCAACGCCTCAACGACTGTTTCTACGTCACGTCGTGCCGCCAAAATCAACCGTCTTCACCTACGCGTACCGTTTTCGTCGCGTCTCGTTGCTTCTCTATCTAACACCTTGCAACCGTATCGCGCTACGCCGTTCTACTGGCCACGAGTTGGGCGCCAAATGAAGTGGATCCGAGCTTACACAATATTACTCAGGGTTTTTCGTGGGTTTCAGTAATAAGGACGGCGATATGGCTAACAAACTTTAATGGTAGTAAGGCACAAAATAATTCACTAACTAAAAAAACATGGAACCCGGTAATTTTTAAATCCGGAAGATGGTCACGTCACCTGTTGCCTCTCTCGGCGGCGAAGGGCAACTGCCCCCTCGCTCGATCTACCACAATTTCGTCCACTGTTGCCGAGTTGCCGCGCACCTCACTGAACCACTACACACTCTACGCAAGAACACAAGAGTAATTATTTGTAGCAAATTGAAGGTAAAATTCGAAAAATTGCGCGTCCCGAAAAAAAACAGTGGTGTAGGTACTATTTTTATTTGGAAAAATAATGCCACTAATCCCCTGTATCTCCGCCACTGATGCACGTTAGTTTTAAGTGAACACTTCTGAATGCGGACAACACTTAGGTAAATCCTCGTACCAAATTTTAGTTCATTCCAGTTGACGATTTTGAAGATATTCAAAAAATTGTTTTTTATTTTTAATGAATCCTTCGAAGAAAAAATGTTAAATAGAGGACCCGCTTAAAATGCAGTCCTGTGTGTGTGTGATGTTTGATTTTTGGTCACGACTTGTGAATCACCCTGTATACTATTAACATCCCATTTGTATATTTATTATTATTATTTACAAAAAGCACAGAATTCTTGGCAGATTTAAAATATAGGCATGATCATTAGCATCTATATCAATTGGTTAATTCTGATTGAACACCAAAATTTTGTTAATTACTTTATGCTAAATAACTTATGTCGGAGTTGTTACTGCTCAATGATATGAGTTATATTGAATGCAACTAAATGATCAGCAGTTATTTTTTGTCACATGTTGACATGTGTGAAAAATAGTGTATAGTATATACAGCATGTAATATGTGAAACACATCTTTATATAGGAAGCTTAAAATTACGCTAAGAATATCGCGACAGCGGAATACCTCAGCATTTACAGGTTCACTTGTTTCACAGCCCACTGCAACTTGCATTCTATCCCTCTTTATTATGTATTCTGTACAGTTTATGGTATTTCCCAGTCTTATATTACATATTTTGATTTATGATACACATACAAGATTGCAAATATATACAATGTAAAATACTGATTCCATACACTATTCCCTAAACATTAATACAGTTTAAATATTAAACAAAATATATAGGTTATTGTATATTTCATATATTATCTAATTCTACTCAAGTCGATAATACTATAAAATTTTCACACTTAAAATAAATATTCTTTGTACACATCATTAGATGCGTATCAAAGTTTGTGAACCAGTATATTATGTATTTAGTTGTCTCTCATGTATTTGTTAAGATTATTCCAACTACACGAGTAATCTATTTTCAAATGTCCCTGTTGACTAAGACCGAAATTATCAGGTTTTCTTCGTCTGACATCATCATAGATAGGCAGTGTGGAGTCTCTGTTGTGGTAGTCATCCAGTCTGCTGTAAAGGTCCATTCTTGAGGCGTATGGATCTCTCCTGAAAAAAATGAACGAAGAAGAATTATGTATATTTAGTGCTCTTGAACATGAAATGTTTTTACTTTGTGCTTCTATTGGATGAGGCAGTGCTGC